AACACGGTGTCAGTAAAACGACTCACCTTTCTAACGACGGAAGAATGACGAGAAGCCCGCGCGAGCCAGTCAGGCGCAGCCCAACCGACCTTTCGCGCGACGTGACCTGAAAGCCATCGTCCGCCGAGTCGACGGCCCCAAAGCCATCCACTGAGCCGCAGCCAAAGCCGCAGCTGTTCAAATTGTTTTTAAAAGTATTTGGAGCTGCCATTAATTTTGAAATGTTAGGTTATAGAGTAGAGTTATTTGTCAAGGGTGGAAATATGATACATGTCTAAATTAAGTGTGTGACTGCAGTGCCACTGAACGGTCGTCGTAGTCCCTAGCTCTGGGGCCGCGAATTGGCTCGAGTGGCCACTCTTTTCGTTTACTGTGTTACTCTATGGCTTCCTCACTTTTGAGTGTAATCCCTAGTCATTCCAAATAAGCCTCGCGTAGAGTCCAAAGACCTGTCATGTCACTTTTAGAATTTCCCGTCAATATCAGCGTTTTTGATACTGTGCATGCAACCAAGCTTTCAGCCTGCAGCCCTGTGCGGCAGAAATCTCTCACAATATTATCATTTTCGTGATCGCTATCTTAGTAGAAATTGACTAAAAAGCTGAGAATAACAACCAAAACCAGCTTTTAGCACAGAGCAGACTTGCGCCTATCTCAAATACTCTACTCAAGATACTCTATTTCAAATACCTTTCGAAGTATCTTGGCATCTTGCAAATACTTTGGATCGAGAGTATTTGTTACTCTAATTTAATTACCTTTCTGGGTATCTTGTACTCATTATCTCAAATACATTTTTTTTTTTACATTCCGCCATTTTCCGAGTTTTTCGTTATGAAGTGGTGTGGGCGTAGCACGAGCAAACGTGAACATTCTCTCGAGCAAGCAAATCCTGTTGCTAGCTCCGATTAGCTATGGTGACTTTGATTGAGCTCGTGAAAGAAATATCGCTTTTTTGATGATTGTGACTCATATTTCAACCCAAAGTTCGTACAATTAAGGTATCCCCTTGCATTCCTAAAGGCGCCTTCTGTTTCCTAAAGTTTCCCCTGGAGAAATCCTCAAAGAAAACAGGTGGTTTTACGGAAGTAAAGATTGCCACTCTGAGGGTTTCTTATGTTTATTTTCCTTTTGTCATCAGTCCGTGACTTTTGCTCTCGCGAACACTGTCTGTAAAGTGCGAAACACATGTACGACGAAACCGTCCGATCCGACGTCCGACCGCGCAATACGACGGTCGGAGGCGAGGGTTTTCAAAGCTCTCCGATGCTACGAAAACCCTCGCCTCCGACCGTCGTATTGCGCGGTCGGACGTCGGATCGGACAGTTTCGTCGTACATGTGTTTCGCGCTTAAGCGAACATTGATAAGCAGAGAACAGGGCAGAAAACGAACTAAAAGCTGGATGACTTCTCAAAATCCCAAACAAAGCTTCCCAACGTTGAGTGCCGTTCTGAGCGCAACCTACTTGAAGGTGCGGCTGCTGCAGTGGCTATCATGTGGTTTCTCTTTATTACCTATTCACTCATATCCGTATCCCAAGTTAGTTTATAATGAACACCCCATATAGGAAATATAGATTGTAGTTAAACGATGTGTCTAAGATGCGCCGCAAAACGGTGATATTCAGCGATGTCGCTATAGCTAAAGCGACCTCTTTATTTCTGTCCCAAAAATGTTTTGTAACATGTACCAGCGACATTGCCATGCGCGTTGCCGAGCGAGCGCCGCGCGTGGCCGAATGTACCGCGCTTGGTTCTCGCGCGGAGCCTCCGGGTTCGATTCCAGAGAGCGAAGTCCTCTTGTGCTTATTCTTTCAACTTGGCATTCTCATAAGCTCAAGAACATTGTCGTGTGATCGAGTTATGAAAGTTCTACGCACGGAACGTTCTACGCCGAATGTTCCAGAAACCCACGCTCTGAAACCTCTGAGACAGCCGGGCCTCACGATTTTGTTGTCTCCAAAATCGACGCCTGCGACGCTGGCCTTTCTCTATTTTGTTTTGAGCACCAGTTCGCCAAAATAAACGTTTAGTTTCTTCAGCTATTAGCTGCCTCATCATTTGTCATTCGTGACAATATACTGCTCCTTTTAGTTGGACTGCATAAAATAGCCCTACGATGCTTCTTTTCCCTTTTTGCCACTTAGTGTTGTTACGTGCTAAGAAACCATTCTGGTAAATCAGATTTGTGCAACTGTATAACTGTCGACACTGTCGTCGATACAAATTACGCAATGCGGAAGTTTCTTCAGAAGTAACTGAATTACATTTCTAAGTATTTGTACCCTATTCAAGATACTTTACAGTGAAAGTAACTTGAGTAGTATTTTAAATACCTAATGAAGCAGGTATTTAGTAACTTAACCTAAATACTTTTACCTAGTATTTTGTCCAACACTGGCACAAACCCAGCGGGGCTGTTTATATAATTTTTAGCTTTTCCAAGTTAGTGTCGGCGTTTTTCGGAGCTGCATGAGATTGACAATATTGTAAGAGATTTCTGCAGCTCAGTCAGGTTGAAGGCTGGACGGCATCAAAACCGCTGAAATTTACGACAAATGTTAAAAGGGATATGGCAGGTCCTTGAACTCTACACGACGCTCGTTCGGGATGACACAGGATTCCACTTAAAAGTGTGTAAGCGTCGAACTGGTCTAATTTACTGATCACCGGGGAACGGAATGAACGCGTTCCCATGATTCCTCGAGTGCGGGTCGGGGTGCTTGGGGGATCAGCGAGTGGTCTGATGCCACACGTGCTGGGTGTATAATACATCGCCAAAAGACGGCATGCTGGAAGAAAGTGTATATAGGTAAAGCACTCAGCATAGTGCGTAAAGCCTTTTCAAAAGCACATCAAGCAACCTTGATGTTTTCTTGGGGACGAAGTGCGTAATTGGATCCGAGTCCTCGCCGAACGATGACACAGCACTCGTTTCCAATGGATGCTCAGAGCACGTAATCAAGCAATGGCGGACAGACGATGCCGCGGGCTTTTGAAAAAAAAAAGGGTCTATTTAACGACTGGGCGTTGTGTGTCTCGAATGTGTATCTTGCAGGGTCCATGAAGCGTTTGTTCTACGTAATTATCAATGTCAAAGCACTGGAGTATGCAGCTTTCCAAAAAAAAAAAATGCTTTAGCAAAAATTACAATTTTTTTGTTACATATCGTGACCTTTATTAAGAAGTACCTCATTTATGCGCATCTTAGAAAATAGGAGTTCCTTTGAAATTCGTCTCTTATCTTTAGAGACGCGTTAAATGCACGTAGGTTAGCGTGCGGACCAATAATGGCATGCGTCTAAAGTAAAGAAAAGACGTAAACGCGCAGCTTATATTTTTTTTCTGGTTCCTTTAGCTTTGAAAGACAAAAGATGTGGACTGCTGTGTATTTCCACATCTGAAAATGTCCAACAGGCCCCATGGAGCAGTCTTGCGCACGTTACTAAAACGTAACCGATTACAATTACAATTGCTCTCGGTTAAAATGTATTAAAGTATATTGCTTGATTACTTCGCAGAAAAAGTAAGTAATTGAACGTTACTAAAAAAATTAACCGTATAATTTTCCGATTTATTCAGATTTCGAAAACGACAGAAACGACAAATTTTTCTGCCGATTTGAAAACAGTCGTAGGGTATTGTCCTTTATTGGGATAGGATCCCCGAAGCACAAATAGCTATCTTATCAATCCAGCAATTTTGGTAGACCATCCTCCCTTCGGAAATTAGGTTTGGGAACTCCTAGATAGAAAACTTGTTCAAACAAGGATCGCCATTAGAAAGGGGAGGGAAAAAATAGTATGAATTACAAGTAATTTTAGAACTTCCAAAAGTAACCAGAATTGACTGTCGTGATTACTTCCTAGCAAAACAAATCAAATAATTACAAAACTGCTTCAAAAAGTTATCGACTGCTTGTAACGAGACGGGCAAATCTACCATGAAGAGGCAAGTAAATCTTGTCACTTCGAATGAAAACATTTTATACCTGTAAATTCCCAAAAATATTTCGGTCCGTTTAAAGCTGATACAACAAACCGACGCAGTTCGCAAGCTGTGGCCCGGAGACCGGTCCACGGAACATTGGGGGGGGGGGGGGGGGGGGGGGGGGGGAAGGGAAGGGGAAGGGGGGGGGGGGGATCCGAGCTGGTTCGGGGATTGTTCCACCGGTGACAGGCAAGACCCCCAAGATGGCTAAAATCGTCGAACCGCGAATAACTGTGCTGCTTCATGGAGCGAGATCCAACCCTTGCCCCTGCAACGGCTAAGTTCAGAGCCACACCCTTTAGGACAGCGCCATCAATTATTTGTCTGCGTTTCTAACGCAGCGTTCGGATGGCGTAACCGAACGCTGCGTCCGTGTTCGTCTGGGGCACGCGTCCAGTATTCGAGCCCAATCCATGCCTCGCAGTCGATTGAGTAACATGGCGTAAACGATGCAGTCTACGGTCCCTGTGTTGGGTAAACACCGAACGCTTTGCAAAACAAGCTGGACAAAGCGCCGGGTATATATCGAGCTTCTCTTTAATAATAAAAATTACTAGCGTGCTCCTTAAGATTCCTAGTTTCTAGCTCATTTTTAATGTGCACCTTTCTTGGAGAAAGTGCTAAGATACGTGTCGCCGTTTTCGGTTTCCAGTGCGTGACCACTTGGTCTGGGCTCTTCCGCAAGGTGTCGAAGACAGCAAACGCGATATCTCGGCTCTTCCGCAACGGGTCGAAGACAGTAAACGTGATTTATAGTCAGCCATATTGACTGAACTTTGCCCGATTTACAACGACGTCAGTACCCCGATGTACGCAAGACGTTGGTGTCACCTAAGCGTAGTCAATGGGGTTTCACGAGTGGCCTCTAAGTCGACTACAGAAGTGCTGCCATCAACTTTGTACGACCCCCATACTTCGTTAAAGAATAAATTTTGATCGATCAATCAATCCGAATGTGTCTATCCGATTTTCGGAACGAAATGCGTGAATGAGCGAGCGTCGTACTCACCGAGCAGTTGTTGGCGGGGTCTCGCTCGTTCAGGTACAGTTCGAGAGCGGCCATAAGCCCGATCGCCATCGCTGTCTGGTTGTCCGCCAAGTCCCAGAGGTAGGTCCTCTCTACGACGCCGATCTCGAAGGCCCCTTCGTCCACAACACTGGCCACCAGCACCTGCGAACGAGGGGAGAAAAATAAAGTAGCAAATGTCGCGATATATAAAAACAGAACGGACGCGCTGCTTCGGGGGATGAATTAGTTCTCTTTGAGAAATAGTAACCAGTGTCGCGCACATTTCCGGAATATTTCTAAGGAATGGAACACTTGCCTCCGCTCAAGAAAAATTCCACGTGCGCAAACAAAACAAAGGTTATATTTGCTCTTACAGATCCCGTGACACTACCAGCTCTAACTAATTTAACTGCTCGTTGCAGTATCCTTTTCGTGCCTTAGCTTGGCGACCTATATCTTCGTTATTGTTGCGTTACTAAGCTTCTACTCATCAAAATTATAATCATAATCTTTATATTGGCATTTTGAAGTTATAACGTAAGAGCTTTTGTTCAAATGTATACCCCTGGGAGGAGGGTAAATAATTTATCGCAGCGGCCCGACGAGATCCGATTTGCCAAAAGGCATCGGTTTAAAATTGAAAGATATATGGGCTCAACACTAATGCAAGCTACCTTCTTATATTTTTGCGGACTTGGGCATACAACTAGCGATACTGAATGCTGTCATTTCGTAATACGTTTCGGACCATTGTTTCCTTTAATGTTTCTGTGTAAAACGTTTTCTCTGTTTTTGAATTTTTTTGCCACTCTTTTATGCTTAAATTGGCAAAGACTGGTGTGAAAGGCTTCTCTCTAAAACGTAACTGTAATTGCGTTGCTCGTTTCCTTAGACAGCGCAAGATCAGTCACCTCCAATGGGAGTCTGGTGTCTCTGCAGTATAGATGAGAAATATAGCCAGTGCAGCACCAGTGCTAGCCTGGGGCCTTCAAAGCGCATCACACAACAACGATGCACGACGGCACGCCGGTTCGATATGCTCATTCATGTCGGGGCAGGGGTTAATTCAGAATCCTTTAGCGGTCTAGCGACAAAACGACGTAAATCCCAACTTCCCTTCCTTTGAAATGCACTATATGCAGGAATGAATGAATATCCCTCAGCGGCACCTGCTTATCCTCGAAGAGCTTCGACCTCGCCACCCCGAAAGGCGACTCCATCATGGGAAAGCTGTCGAAGCTGGGCACAAAGCGCGGACCCAGGGCGATGCGAAGGCGATCCGACGCCCGCTGCAGCTCGGGAACCGTGAGGTTGCGGAGGCAGTCGACCGAGCCTCCGGGGTCGCCGGCAGCGGCGGGGCAGGACGCGCTGCTGGCGAGGGCCCGGAGGTTGGCCAGGGCACCGGCCGTGTTGTCCCGCAGGGGCCGCAGCGGACTGCCCGAGTGCAGGATGAGGCGCCGGTGGGCCTTGAGCAGGCCGGGGTGCAGCAGGAAGTAGCCCAGGGAGGTGGCGCCCGTGTCGTGCCCAAAGAGCACAATCTGCTAAGAGTGCACTCTGCTAATTAATTCCCAAGTCCCACTAGAGCGACAAACAGAAACAAACGACGGCGACAAGCCTCAAGAACATGCAGCATGCTCGCGATGGTATAACTTTAGCAGGCGTTTAGTCGTTCGGTGCTAATGAAATAAGCGGGTCTGATTGCGAGCCTGCCAAAGATACACTCGCATATATGATGCTCGTGTTTGAGCATGGCCTCCTTTTTTCTACAAAGCCTGTCAAATCGTGAAGGACTCTAGTTTGAGGATTGTTGCTGTCTTTTGTTTCTGTGTGTCGCTCTAGTGGGACTCTGGCATTAGGGCTTTGCGTCCCTTAGCTTGATGGGAATACGTGGCGCGAAAGCTCGCGCTGCGGAACCCGGGAATCCCGGGCCTGCAAACGCGACAGAAGAGCCCGCGACGAAACAGCATGCGATAAAGCAACAGTACGCCAAATCGGCACAACGACCGGCACGTACGAAGTTGACGTGGCGTTAGAAACAACGTAGCTGAGAGCAGGTGTGTGATTCAGGATTATAAAGTCCCATTAATGGCGTGTTCAAAATATCGCGTTTATTTTTAGATTGTGCTGTTAAGTTTTATTTAATTACTACTACTATTCCTAAGTGAAAATGATAGAAAACCCCGTGGATAACCCCGTGGATCTCTTGAGTTATATATAGTAGCACATATAAAGTTAGTAAAGCAAAGTTCCTCACAAAATTTTAACACGTCCCGTGAAACTTTTTTGGAACTATGACCCTGCGACGAAGGCTACATAAAAGGCGTCGTACAATTTAGACTTCGGTTGCCCGTTCAAAAATACCCAAACTGTTAGTGTTATTTCTCACTCCTTCTCGAGGGCGCGCCAGATTACCTGCATGCGTTGATCTGACTCGTGAGCTCCGAAGATTTACTTTACGTTTGTTCCTCAGTTGTTCCAAATTTATGGTCTCACAGCTTCAGTACTATTTTGCTATTTCTGTCCTTCAACCTGATCCGACCGATATCTTAGATGGATAGTAAGGAGTTTTAGGGAACGGTTTCCGCAGATCCGATATGGTACGATGGGCCCTCCGGTATGCGGACTGCGCATCCGCTACCGCAGAAGACTAGCATATGCGCAGTTCGTACCGGAAGACCCGTTGTACCGTAGCAGATGAGCAAAAACTGTTTCCTAAAACTCTCTAGTAACTCATCAATTTACTCAGTTCGCTTTCCGAAATAGGTGTATTTTGTTAAGAACACAGCTCGTCGGTGGGTCCGGCAGAGAGCGCTTGCTCATTATGAGTCACGGAAGGATTCGGAAAGTCCCAAGCGGACTCGCCAACCCTGTACCTCGAAACGCCATCTGCAGCTTCGAAGAGGCTACGAGAAGCGAGAAGTACAGGGTGGCTGATTGTAGAGGAACTAAACACCGAAGTACAATTGTAAATGTTTGCGCGAATAGGTCGAATTATGTTTACTAAACAATCAACCGATTACCAAGCCTGAATAGTTGTTGTCTACTATGAAAATGATTTTCTCATGGTTTGGTCTGATTGAAATATTATTAGTGAGCAGTCTCTCTATAACTATGCATGTTCATATGCTGCCAAAGTTTTGAATACTTTTTGGTGGTACGTGGACATTAAACAATCATCTGATTATGTGACTGTGTGGTTGCTATTTGATAACCATTAGTGTCAGTAATATTGAGAGCAAAACTTGTCCATTTATTTCAATTAGGCGAGCTGCCAATAAATATACAACCGAAAGTACGAATGTACAACGTTAAAATGTCGGTCTGATTCTCGAATCCGTTCGCTTGGACATCAGCCTCCCCCGCGAGTAGCATTGCGCGTACAACTATTTTGGAATAATCATGAGCCTAAGGCATCCTAAAGGGGGAATGACATATGAATGAGCTGTGTCGAGACCCCTGCTGTATCGTCGGTGTGCTGTTTGGGCGTCGTGCTGTTTTGTCGAGCGCGCTCGGTCCCCACCTTGTCTCTCTTGACCTGGATGAGCATCCTACCGGTCCGCGTTCGTGTATGTCCACTGCACGATGCAAGTGAAAAAGACCAGGCAGGCTAGCTGTCGTACTGCGCTGGCTAAGTTTCTCATCTATATCATAAACCAGTGTCGGCTTATCCCAGATGAGAACCAACCTACGCTGTCTTAACAAAAACATCTAAAACCTAAATGCATGTTTCTTGTGTGTCGGTTAATATCTTACTCGTGATAAGCCTAAACGGCGGAATGAAGGAAATGACGTGCATTTCTGGGGTCTCCCGCGAAGGCGTCGATGTTCTCCTGTACCCACTTGAGGGCGAGCAGCATGTCCAGCAAACCCACGTTTCCCGGAGCATCGGGCATGTGGGCGTTCAAGAAGCCGAACACTCCGAGGCGGTAGTTGGGGACCACAACAAGGACGTCGCCACGGGCGGACAGCGCCCTGCCGTCGTACAGATCTAGGTTGTTGCAGCCGTGCTCGAAGTCCCGGCCGTAGAAAAAGAGAATCACGGTTCTCGGGTTGCAGTCGAAGGCGCAGAATGGACGCACGACCGGGGTCCAGATGTTCAGGTGCAGGCAATCCTCGCTGCTCTCGGTCGGGATCATGTCCAGCAAAGGCGCACCGGAACCCTGGGCGTGCCGCGCAGACAGAATAATCTTAAACAGAATCGTCCTGGACAGCGTGGACGCGAAGAAAGTGGTCCCGAACAAAATTGTTTTGAACAGAATGGCCTCGAACTGAATGGTCTTGGGCATAATGATTAGGGACAGAATGGTCGCGGAGAAAATGGCCCTGAGCATAATGGTTCTGTACAAAATGGTCTTAGACAAAAATTTCCCGGACAAGGCGGTGGTGAAGAAGACGGCCCCGAACAGAATGGTCCCAAATATGAAAGGTCTTAGACGTAATGGTTTTGGGCGGAATGGTCGCCGGGGAAAGTTACCCCAAACCGAATGGTCCCAAATAGAATTGCCTTGGACGATATAGTGTCCTGAACAGAATGGTCGTAGAAGAAACCGCGTCCAGCAAAAAGGTCCCAAATATAATTGCCCTGTGCGTGATGTCCTGAACAGAATGGTCCCGAATAGAATTGCATTGCACGTAATTTCGTGAACAGAATGGTGGCGGAGAAAATGGCCCCGAACAGGATGGGGCCCCGAAAATGGCTTTTATTTCGACGAAGTGAAGGGGGTCAAAAAGTGGGCTAATTTTTTTTTCCTTCTCCTTTCATCGGTTTTTGGTCGTAATGCACGCCCGATTAGACACAACGGCCCATTACTATTGGCTGTTGTTTGTGACATCACACACATTTTGATTGCCCGCCTGGAGAACCACCGTGACGTCCCTTCGTCGGTTGCCCCGGCCTTTGGTGCACCAGTGCGTCGACCAAACAAGAGTGCACACTTTCAATCCACAACAAATCGCGAAACTCATAAAAAAAAAAAAAAGTTTCGGTGTCCCTTCAACCGCACTCCGGAATCCTGCCTGGCTTCAACCGTCCCTTATTATACATACATCCTCCGCATGGGGTCGCAAGAAGAGGCTGGAGAGGAGGGCGAGGCGATGGTTCGAAAAGACGCGGTACCCTCCCAGGAACGCGAACACCGAGCGGGGGCGTCAGCTGCGTTTCTCATAAAGTGCGATTATGCATACGTCGGTTCGATCGACAAATAAAAAAAAGAAATACAGCTTTAGCTTGATCTGCTGGAGAAACCATCCTATGTAGAATTGCCGCGTTTTAGAAGCGTCAAGAAGTCGGTCTTTTTTGCGTTTGTTTTGTTGGGACGCCACGGAGGACGTACAGATGCACAGACAGGCCAGCGAGAGCGTCCTGTGGTCCGAGTCACAGCGTTTTGACACGCGACGCACGATCATGCGCGATTTTTGGGCAGGGCAGGTGTTTGGTAACGGGCGGCAAACTTTATTGCCATGTATGGGCCTAAGAAGGCACGCATCAGACGACAAAGAATTTGATTACCCTTAGGTAAGAATAGCTGTTCTCCAATGACGCAGTTGCAAAGTTTGTTTGTCTCAACCTGTGGACACGGGGGTCCCTTGAACTTGGCGTGAAGTGGAAAAACCCTGGGAAGGGCCGGCCTCGGAGGCGAGAACCGGTGCCTGCCCGAGGTGTCTCGTCCGTACGGCACGCCCAAGAAGACAAACACGTCGCGGTTGAGCGTCGTGTGGTCGTTGAGGCGCAGGCCCTCCACAACTCCGTCCCTGGTCCGGACGGACACAACGCGCTCGCTGCTCTTCGAGCCCATGATGAAGATCACGAACATGAAGACCAGGAAGGTCAGGGCGTTCACGAAGAAGGCCATCTTCCTGGGGTTTAGTGGAGGAGATGGTCAAATTAGTCTCAGCGCGAGTTGTGCTATATACCAGAGTATTTAATCCTGACTCATTGGCATCTGTAGACCGTCATTGACATTTTCCACGCCGCCATTTTAGTCTACTGAATCGTGGAACGCCGTTTGAGCGAGTAGATTAGCTCTCTTCTACGGAATATCGAACGACGCGCCTGCCTGCACAGTCACCCCATGGGGTGACTGTGCAGGCAGGCGCGTCGTTCGATAACTAAGGCCAGGCGTATGGATTCCAATTTCGTTTTACCACTTTGCGAGAATATTTATGCCCCCCCCCCCCCCCCATGCAATCAGGCGTGACCAGTAATAGAGTACTCATTAAGGCCCATTCACCGGTACGTAAAATTGTGATGTCGAGGAGTCTGTGCCTGACGCGTCAACATCAGCAGCTCTGAAAGGACATACCATCAACAAATATTCGTCGACATCTTCAAACCCGACATTTTCTTGGGTGTCTTTATAAGAACTGCCGTGTAAATGTTGTCTTAGGTGAACATTATTTGTAATTATCCGCTAGATTCAGCGACAGCTTGAGGATTAGGTAGGTCGTGGCGTGTCCCATGCGTCTTGATATCGCTCGACAGTCAATCAGCATGAGCCGATAAAAACGTGAAAGAACCAGTCACGAGGCATAACTAACAAACCACGCTCCCCTACGTTTTCTGAGCTGTCAATCACTATAGCTTTATAGAAAAAAGCTTTCAGCCTTTCCACTCTTGAGAAGAAGGAAGACCAGCGAAGCTGTACTATGATGCGAATGAAGTAATGGCCGGCTGCAAGTCGGCAAGCCAGTGTGGAAAGCCTGAAAGTTTTCCCGATTACGAATGCCTACATGCTTTTCTCGCTCGTCTTCCTGCATGATTATCGATTTTGTTTACATTTTGTGACAATTTGCTTATCCGCCTCTGCCAAGAAAACGGGGGTGGGGCCCAGTCAAGCCGACATATGTTGGCTTTTTGCCCATGCCCCTGTCTGATTCGGGAAAGCTGGAAAGGTTGCCGCCATCTATGAGCGACGGCGGCAACCAAACAACCGGCAAGCCGGTTGTCAGGTTACCGCCGTCGCTGTATAGAGCGGGAAACTAAATTGGTCTAATACGTCACGTAACGTCAGGTCACGCTACCTATTGTCGCGTGACGTCATATCACGTGACATCAAATTTCCCGCCGAATTTAGCGGGAAAACTGAATTGGTGCGTAAGTCACGTAATGTAAAAAATTAACGAGTAAACTGAATCGGTCTGTAGCTATTGGGACGTCAGACCACGTGAAATAAATTTTCCCGCTAAATATAGAGGGGAAACTGAATTGATATATAGGTCACGTCACGTGATTTTCCCCGTAAATTAGCGGAAAATGCGCGGACGGACTGGCGGACGGACAAAACTTTGCCATCTTAACTTCGGATAAAAAGCAATTCATGCTTTAATAAAAAAAATATTGTTAACTCACTTAACGAGGACACTCTTTACTACTTCAGGTTATATTCTAAATCTGTCTCATGACAGCTGCTAGAAATTGAATGCAATACGCATAAAAAAATATTTTGATTTTTATTTATTAACGGGGAGGAGACCTGTCGACAGCGTCGACAGTGTGAATTACCGCCGGCGCAAAGCATGAGGCATAATCCCCTACCATCGTTCACGGTATGGTTCCAGACCGCGATTAAAACGAGGTGCACTCCTATAATTGTAATCGTTAGTGCATGCTTCACATCGGGGTTATGTTTCGTCCCTTATTATTAATTGCGGTAAGATGCGCTATGCGGGGCTTCGCCGAGACCGGCGGCGTGTGGATCATGTCATTGCTCATGCGCGTCTCATGGCAGTACGGAGCATCTCATAATAAAGGCAGTCAAAAAATGAAAGCCTGTAACGCCGAATTAGAGCTCAGCTCTTGAGGAGGAGGAGGGAGGGATACTTAGGGAAGGTATACTCCCCTCCCCTCCTGGCTCCTCCTCACTTCCTCATCCTGTCTGCTCTCCTCCCATCGAGCGGCGTCGCCGTCGCCTCACGAGGGTCACGTGACCTCACGGGGGGGGGTTATGTGACGTCACCGGGGTCACGTGACCCCAGTGAGGTCACGTGACCCCTATGAGGTCACGTGACGTTGACGATGACGTCACCACTGACGTCATCATCACTAGTGACGTCATCAGTAACGTCATCGATGACGATGCGAATGACGATGACGATGCAGATGACTCATAAGTGACGTCACTGATGACGTCATCAGTGGCGATGACGATGCGGATGCCGATGACGTCACTGAAAACGTCATCAATGACGACGACGATGGCAATGCCAGAATGCATTATGGGACGCGTGACGTCACTGATGACGTCATCGGTGACGTCACGTGTCCCATAATGCACCGCGCGGTTACGCCGACGCCGCTCAAGCCGGAAACGGGCGTCTAAAGGCCCGTTCACACAGTTGCGTTCGGAGCGACCACTACGCTTACGAACGAATGCAACCGGTCGGAACGACGAGTTACCATCGCAACGAAGCGCCAAACGGTCGTTTCGTTCGTGTTCGTTAGCAACGCAAGGAGTTGAGCCGAGCTGAACTTTTTCTTACGTTCGGGAACAACGGGAGCGACAGACCAATCACAGGTCGAGGAGAGCTTGGTCGCGCGCGTTGCATGCCGGTCGTACCGGCTTTCAGTCTGCAAAAATGGCGTCGGTGGTGATCGACGACGTGGACGGCGTGGGGGAAACTTCTCATCGTTCCCCGTAAAAGCGCTATCCTTGACTGTGAATTATCGTCGTATGTCGCTATGATAACCCACCGCGTACTAGAAGGGAAGATCCACCTACTCGTGCTGCGATCTCGTGGCGGCACTCTCAAGACAGCAGAAACCCCCGTGCTGTCGTGTTTGTTTACTTCGACTATACAGTGGTGCTTTCTTAGCATTTGTGTCCTCAAACATCGCCCGGATTCCTTTTTTGGCGCATTCCATGCGTGTGCTGAAGTTCAAGGTATTACTGGTGCGTACCGTATAAAGGATGCGAATTTTCACGCGTTTTCATCACCCGAGAAAGGTGATTAGTGTTAGCAATCCTGAACGCCTGCAACGTCTCGCTCGCAACGTTCCTTTGATCACAAAATCATTTCTACGTTGCTATATCGCTGCTAAGATTACATCGTCTTTCATAATCGTAGAAAAGGCGTGTGGCGAGATTTGTACTGTTGGCAAAGTCGTGTATTACAGTCGTGATCGTGCAAGACTGCGTAC